AACAGCTGTGAGCACTGGAGTTCCACCAAAACCTGGCAGGACACAAGGCCACGCCCTTCCACTCTTTCATTGTGTTCTTCTCCCCACCTGCTTCTGTGTCCTCTCAATCTAAAATTTACTACATCCAGTGAACCTCCACAGATTTGAAATCTATACTCTGTAATAACACTTAATATTCAATAACTGTGAAGCAATCATATTGAACCATGCCTCCTCTACTATTCAGTGAAAACAGAAAAGCTAGTGAGAAAGTAGAGAAATAGGGATAATGTTCCCCCTCCCTATGGGCCACATGTGCAGACCTAGAAGGGGCTTTGATAAGAGCTAGCCAGGCAAAACGGAGCAATGTGGGGAAAACAGAACAAGGATATGAAGCAATAAATGAAATTCTAACAAATTGTCCTGAGGATATACTAAAAAGACTATACCACTATGAAAAGCAAGTATATTCCTAAAACTTACAAGTCACAAAGGACAACTATCATAAACACCAGCATTCAGGGCATTTAGGGAATTACTTCAGAACAAATAAAAGAACTTTACTAGACTAGTGGTCAACTTATGAAAAATCATGTTGTAAGAGGGCTTGAGGAAAGGTTTAGATCCATTTGCCAACAAAAATCCAGAGCTTATTAAATGGAATAATAATAATTGGTAATACATTGTATCAGACACTATTTTAAGCACTTTTACATGAATCAACTCATTTAATCCTCAGGGCAACTCTATGGGACAGGCTCTCGTATTATTCCTATTTTACAGATGGAGAAATGAAGGCCAGAAAAGTTAAGTAGATCTGTCCAAGATCACACAGCTGGTAAGTACACTAGGATTCTAAGCCGGAGGGCCTGGCTTTAGAGCCTATACTTGTGATCACTATTCTACACTGCCTCTCAAGGAAAGAAAGGGTTATTTACCCTTAATCTTTTGAAAACAGAGATTAATGCTATAAGGCCAACTAACAAACTTTCTGTGAGAGACAGAACACTGGCTCAGCCCCACAGGTCTAACCTGTATACCTCATCTCGCATACAAACCCGGTTTAGGGGAATTATCTCAACAGTCCTTTCAATCCCACTCTGCTTTGACTGGAGAAACGGAAAACCAGACTGATCAAGATCTGAAAATGAAACGACAAGCAACCACTAAAGAGAGTTGGTTCACTTAAAAAGTGGGCATTTACAGTTCATTGTTAGGCAGAGATAGAATCTGGCATGAAGAGTTCAAGTTTTTCCCCCAGGCTGCCAGCATATTCTGATGCAATTCCGTCTCTACCAGCTTTGGAAAGGAGGGCAAAGAAGAGGCAGAGTTGAAATTAAACAAGTGCTGGCCAAAACCCCTTTAAAGAGCCTTAGATCTTTTTCTACGTGTACAAAGAGGACAATTTTCAGAACCAAGGAATCCTTGGGCATGACAATGGCTCCAAGTGGCAATATTTTTAGTACCGTTCACAGCACCAGCAAATTGAATGTCCTATAAGAATCAGGAACTGAAGGCACGCTTTTATCCCAGCCTGTGAGCATACCTAACACATAACAGTTCAGAGAAACCCAGAACCTGAGGAGCTTCAGCATTTCAGCAAACTGAGGTTAGACAAGAAAGGAGGGTCCCTCCTCTTAAGACACTTCCAAACTCCAGAACTTCTCGCAGTAAGGCCAGATTCAGTTCAAGCTACTTCCTATGTTCTACAATCACAGACACCCTCTTCCTGAATCCTTCACACTGCTAAGAGAAGCTGATCTGGAGAACACACCTACTCCTTTAAGTGCAATTCCTCTAACAGACTTAACACAAACAATAAGTAAGTTCATCTTATTAGTGTTTCTTATAAGTAAGAAACCCTAAGTGGTGATCTTCCGCCTAGAAAGGAAGTGAAATACTAGTAAGCTGCTGAAAACTCTTAAAGGTGTTTCAAGGCCAGGCGCGGTGGCTCACGCCTGTAATCCTAGCACTCCGGGAGGCCCAAGGCGGGCGGATTGTTTGAGCTCAGGAGTTCGAGACCAGCCTGAGCAAGAGCGAGACCCCGCCTCTACTAAAAAAAATAGAAAGAAATTATCTGGACAACTAAAAACATACAGAAAAAATTAGCCGGGCATGGTGGCACATGCCTGTAGTCCCAACTACTCTGGAGGCTGAAGCAGGAGGATCGCTTGAGCCCAGGAGTTTGAGGT